ACCCTTTGGTCAGCCAACCAACTATGAAACAAAAAACGTGATCCTTACCATGAAAAATAATCAAGCCCCAGGAACCGACCTTATCACTGTGGAACTTATAAAAAATAAGTGAAAACGAACTGCATAGACAAATATATAGCTTTGTAATCAAGATTTTGGCAGGAAGAAGATATGCCAAATAAAAAGGGGTACTGCGCTCAATTCACATGAGAGGATCTAAGCTGGAGTGCTCAAATTACAGAGGAATATTCCTAATTAATGTAAGTACAGGAAGAGTACTTGAGCAACTTTCATATTAATCAGGGCCACTGAGTCAAGGAGACTCACTAGCATGTACCCTATTTAATGTCCCTTTAGAAAGCGTTATGAGAAACATATCTGTGAGCACAGGATGAACTATCACAAACAACATATCAGAATCTCAGCCATCAGGACACCAACCAACTTTAAAAAGCCCAACCAGTGCAGGAAAACTACCATGGTCCTATACACAACTTTTATTATCATAAGACCAGTGGTAATGCACAACAGCCAGACAAAAGAAGAGAACCTGTTCAATACCTGGAAAATCCTCAGAAAAATATACAGTCCAGTGTTAGATAATGATGGATGGGTTAGGGCTTTGGGGCTCTGGTTGACAAGTTTGTAGTGGCTTGCTGACTAAAGAGGAGGTGCCCCCTAGGGCTAGACTGGGAACAAAACCACCATTATTGCGTGAGCTTGCCCTGGCAGACAAAGAGCCTGCATGGTATCTGCCGAAAATGGAAGCACTTACAGGGCTACCAGCTGTGGAAAATCTGCAGCTGGAAATAGAACGGCAGAAACACGGTAGGGAGCATGATTACATGTTGCCCTTTAAGGATACGAGGCATGAGGTGGGTAGTGGCAACTCATGCCAATGGTTCTATTTAGATAGCATTTAAGGTAGTTGTACCTAGGCAACCGTTTCGTCCCAGCTGCTTCGTAAATTAGTTGCAAGTTAGCAACCCACTGTAGAAATCTCTATTCGACGGTGCCGGATGTTCCCAGGGATGGGCAGGGTAAGATTTTAGGATGTAAATACACCATCCTGACTCCTGATGCTGTGAGAGAAGCGTCACCGGCCTACCGGATGTCCTTGTGTTGGGGTGACCTCCACTGGTACTTGATCGAGTGGGTGCAGCCGGGCTGTCCTGGCAAAGGGAGATCTCCAACGTTCTGCTTCCCAGCCCGATAACTCAGGCTTGGGGAGTTAGGGTGTGTGTGCTTTCTGGAGGGCATAAAGAGCTAATGTACTAGCTTGACAGCCCGCTGATGCATTTTCCTAATGAACATTTTCAGTACCAGAACCATCCGTAGTTGGTGCAGGCTGCTTTGGACAAGAAACCTTGAGAGGATATTAGATTGTAGAGCAGCAAAAGTGATCTACAGTCAGAAGCCTATGGGTTAATGGCTCTTCCGTCGATCAAGACGGATATGGATTGAGTTGTGAAGGACTAAAATCACCTGGAAGGTGTAAAATCATGGATCAGCTTAAAAGGGAGGACATTGTAGAGCAGACAAGCAGACCAGGCCTCTATGAAGGGCTGTAGCACCTCTGATGATGATAATGTCTGAATAGAAGGATGTGGTGAAACAGGCCAGGGCCCTACTAATGATCAGCATTAACAAATTGATATGTTTATCTATCTCTATTTCTCCCATTTAGCGGCATACTTATTAATATAATTATTTAACTTGAATTTCTGGATGTTGTTTAAGAATGATCAACACATAATTAAGTCTAGACATGGCTATAAATCAAATTTCAGCATGTACTGTAGATAGCTATTCAAGGGCCTATTTACATAAAAAATATTTCAATGGTATAAATAAATGGGCTTTTGAGTCGGTCAAAGGAGGTTTTCAACAGGTACATTGATTCTATTATAGAAAACAATAAGATTGTTTCTGTGTGTGGGCATATGACTGATTCTGTTCAGTGTAGTTACGGTATATATATATATGTAGAAAAGTGAAGTGAGTCGCTGTTATACATAATACTGAATGTTTAATAGTTTCAAAGTCTTTTTAATAAGCAATAAGCAATTATCATTTTTAAGGTTTCGATGAAAACCTTTAAAATAATTTCTCAGCCAAAACTTAAAGAGTACACTAATGAGCAGATTACACACTTTTCATTGTTTTCAGACCAAAACTAAGAATGTGGTCGGCTTATAATCCATTGGGAATAAATTTCCAAGAACCCAATCATGGCAAGTTACCTCAAGATTAATACCCAGTGTGATAAATCAAGCATCAAGTTAAAATGTAAAAAAAACAACCAAAAAAAAAAAAATTTTTTTAAAGGCATAGGTAATGAAAAATAAATAGAATAAAAAGGACCGTATTTACCTGAAGTAAAATGTTGACCAGTCATTGTCTTGGCATGTCATGATTCCTCCTGCACATTCATCATAAGAGCAGCTGTGAATTCTGGCAGTGATGGGGGTCTTCAAGTGATCTCTGTGAAACCAACAACTTTAACCTGGAAGTGGAAGTTAAATAATACATGAATTAGTAGAAGACAGAAACTTTACTATATTAGAGCGCAAGCTTGAATGAATATGAAGACAATATCCTATGAACAATTTTAACCTGAAAGTTACCATCATAAAAAGTACCAAAAAAATTAATCACACACTTGGTGTAATCATTGCTTTCACACCAGCCATGTTTGCATGGGTGTTTTGACAAAAAATTCCTGGTTCTCAAAGGGAAAGTTGAATAGCTTTATTTAATCTGTTAAATAGTTTAAGTCCAACCACTATTGGAATTAGTGAGTATTCATGCTCTTTATTTAGGGAGGTGGTGTTAAATGAACAAAAGAAAACCTTCAAAATGGTCAAGTAAATCTCAGTGCAAGATTTTAACTACAACTGCATTACGGTAGTGAATCTTTAAAAATTTAAATAAGATTTTTTGTCACAGATCAATGGTAATATAATTCTAACCTGCAAGATGTAACTCTTGATAATTACTACTATGATTTTAACCCAAAAAATATATGCTATAGCGACAGATGAATCTAAATATAATCCATCTAAATAGCTTTTTTGCATTTTTTTATTATTTCTTTTACAGCAAAAATACACTCAATATGTCAGAAGGAAATTTAGATTTTTTAGGGATTTTTATCTAATTTTAACTAAATTAGGAATGGGCAAGACTTTACCCCAACCTAATCAGTGAAACTAACCATTCCAATACTGTCTTTTGATATTTCTTACATGCACTAGCGGGATTTATCTTCATATAAAGTGCATTCAAAGGATCAAGATACTAATATTTATTTTGGAAGGGGGGGTTGGGATGATGCTAGGTGTTAAGAGAAAATGTAAAGATATGTGTTTATTATATTATGGCATGTAATTGACTAGGACAGAGGCTCCCAGGCTGTGTTGTATATTGCATTGAAAATTTGGTAGCATTATCTTTTAAAATCCAAAAGTTTTGGGCAAAATAAGGCAGAAATTTGGAAAGTGGGTCAGACGTTTTTTCAGTTAAATACTAATATAAGGGGTTTTAAAAAATCACCAAAAAAATCATAACTCCACTTCTATAAAAGATAGAAAGATGAAATTGGTGTTGTTGTAAAGCTTATAGTTATAGTATAGCCCTTTAAAATTGTGTATCATTCATGACAATCTAACAATATTTAAATTGTGTGTCAAAGTACCTAATCAGACAATATTTAAATTTTTTTCAAAGTACCTAATAATAATTTTTGAATTAAAAGTTTTTTAAGCTAATTCAGATTGTCAGGTTTAGGGATAAATTTTAGGGTTCATGTTAGGTTTAGTTTAGGACATAAGTTTGTGGGTCACGATAACCAAGATGGCGGCCGCGGGCTGATCTCTCCGAATTGTTTTTTATTGAAAAGAACATATGTTTTATGGGAAGTGTGAATAATCATAACTTTTGCGGTGAATTAAAATTGAAGTATCCACTGTAGCCAAACTTTTCATTACAATTACAGATAAGACAGTAGCCGATTTGCCGCCAAAAAAAAAGAAACTTTGATCTTGAATCTTGATTGATGTCATGTTAATGATTATAGAACTATATTTAAAATAGAATTTAAAAATACAATAAAATTATAAACAAACGTATTCTTACTTGCTTTTACGTCACATTGTTCTTCGTGTTTCTTGAACGCTAGCTACATGGACATGGAAGGCTTCAAAATATGGCACATGTCTCAATTGATAATAATGGCTGTAAGATGGCAAACCAACAGGAAGTATGCGTCATAACCGTCACGTGACCAACCAAACATTAATAAAGACATCACGTGACCAGCCGGGTCCGAATAGTTATTTGATGCTATAGGTCACTCCGTATCTGAAATGACAATGACATTAATACTAGGGTTCTGGTAGGGTACGTTGCTGAATCCATGTACTGAGATATGTGCAACGGTTGTGAAAGCGATGCTGCTATCCTAACGGCTCCTGGCAGATGCCAGGGCAGCCTTGACGCTCTCGATTGATGTCGAGTCCACGCGCGGTCCACGGCGGCACGGTCCAGGTGGCTGCAAGCGATTATTGTGCTTGGGAAGAATGCTTGTTTATATTGCACTGAGTTACACCGAGGCACAGTGAAGTATTTGCTGTTATTCCGGATGTAATTGCTTATGGGGTTGTTAGAGGTGAATTCAGTGTTTAGTGAGTGTTTTGGCTCTGATTAAAATCATCCTGGCTTCTCTGGGGTGAGATACGTGTTTGCTGGGATGGCCGGCACTATATCTTTGACAACTTTATATAAGAATGTTAGGCGGAGCTTTTCTCGTCTGAGGGAAAATATAAATAATTCATGTCGAAAATCATATAATGACATCAGAACGGAATTAAAACTACTAGAAAATTATAAACCCCATTAAATTACTTAATGTTTAAAAAAAACAAAATAAATAGAGCTGTAAAATGTATGTGTGCGCAAAAGATTTCCTTCTGGTAAATATTTAAACCCTAGTCACGTGACGTTAAGCGTCGGTAGCAATGCAAGATGTCTGCCGCTCTGTCAGTGTTCCATCTTAAATTTAATACAAATAGCTATTACTATTAGCTATTTTCACCTTGTAACCAAAAAAAATGCTATGTTCGTTTTGAAAGAATGAATTGGTAAATTATAGTGGAATTAAAAATTAATGTACATTACTACTTAACTAGATACGAAATGGTTACAGATTGGTGGGAAGTGCGAGTGTGAGTCGTGACAGAACTTGCCAAAAACAAAATTTGTTAATTTATAATAAAATTAAAATATCCTCTTTACTTATGTCAATGTGTAAAATCTTGTAATTATTAAACAAAAATGGTTAAACTCCAATATAGCGTCGGTAATTACATACTTAGATAGACGGCACACACTACCATACCGGAAATACTTAAGCAGACCACAGGAAGTTTCTATGTTAAGGCTAAGGAAATTTAAATCCACAATGGCAGGAAGACCATGAGCGTCAATGACTATTTTACCACTGAACGAAATACTGAGTAAAAACGACATGTTAAATGAAGTGTAGTGATTATTGACGCTTTCACCACACTTGCAACAACCTGATTCGGCATTACAGTGGTGTGCCTGCCGCAATTTGATTCTTAACTCAGTATTAGTATCGTGCGGAATATGCAATCAGCCATGCACATTGAATCGGGACCAGCAAGGAATTGACGGTAGGAGATGGGCATGTGACCGTTGTGGGTACTGCCTATCTGTGCGACACAATTATTGCTTTTCACGCAGTCAGTTATCATTACAACAAATCGTCACCATGGTGTATTGTTGGTAATATGATATGCCACAAATACAAATGCAGATACAGCATGAGGCAGCTGTTGCCGAAAAACTTGTAATTGATTGGTATAACTACATGGGAGAGGAGTGTGGAACTTAGCTGGAACGTAATGTGACCGAAATTTGTGGAATAGACGTAAATGGAGAACCTGTAATTGTGGAGATAGATAAAACAAAATATTTCCACAAGAAATATCATCATGGTCAGTGGCGAGATGGCCACTGGGTCTTTGGTGGTATCGATTGCGGAAGTGCCAAGTGCTTCTTGTTGGAAGTGCCAGACAGGCGCGCAGACATGCTACAAGCCTGTATAGAAGCTCACATCTTGCCATGGACACACATCGTTTCCAATGGCTTGGCTGCATACGCACACATAGATCAAATCGGAAACAGAATATACAAGCATTCTGTTGTTGTTCATGAACATAATTTTGTGGATCCTGATGACAGCGAAGTGCATACCCAGAACATTGAAAACATGTGGATGATAGCGAAGCGCAAGTTGAGAAGACAATTTGTAACTAGTCGTGCATTGTTTCCGTCATATCTGAAAGATTTTGCCTATCGTAAGAAGTTTTGGCGCACAGACATATTTCCGAACTTCCTGATTACGCTTGTCCGATAACTATCAATGATTAGACGGTCTGTTGTGGTTCAGAGTAGAATGGTGCTTTAAATAAACTTGAATCTGTGTTAACTAGAGCTTTGTTGGGTGTATTTCATGTTGTTAACGCTGTTTTGGGTCTATTTTAATGTTATTAATTACAGACGCTATATCAGAGTTTTACCACAAAAATATTATGCAACAATGTGTCGCATTTCGCTCAATGTGTAATAAACGAGAATGACTTGAATTACTATGTTTATTCCATTTGAATTTTGTGTTTAGTGAAATTCATTCTCACAGTTACACACACATTATGTCATAATATTATTTCTCCAAATTTCTTAAACTGAATGTCTTAATACTTGCCCTTTTTAAGTGGATGAAAACCATTAATTTTCTTTTCAGGCATGACCATTTTGCTTTCACATGGTTTTGATTTGTAATGGGGAATTTTAAATGCCTGTCATTAAAGACCAGTAAATATGTCCAATGTAAGTTGATAATATAGGATGTGCTTTAAATTTAAATATCCAACTTAATTTGAGCGTTAAATGTTTTTAATCACATTTAACTTTTATTTCATTTCTTTTGTCTTATGAGGCAAATAATTTACTATTTTCAGAGCAATAATCAGACGGATTTGAAAAGGGGAGAAGAAGATCCTTTCCCAATAGCCGCTATTGTGTGTTTGGCTGTTGGCGGTTATGTTGTTATTGTCATCGTTATTGTCATTGTTAGATACATGCTTGTGGTAAGTATATGAATCAGTGATCATTGGGTTAGGTATAGCAAGAAATAAGTAAAGAAATAGATTAGTCCTTTTAAAGTCAGAACTGTGAGATGAAATTATTCACATTTTAAAAAAAATTCTTTTTTTTTTTCTTGGGTCAATTTTTCTACATCTCTTCTGAAAAAAATTAGGGTAAATGTCTAATTTTTTTATAAATTCATCCGTTAACAGAGCAATAGAGTTTTGTATTTTTTATCAACCCACTTGTTTTTCCTCATATAATAATTTTCAAATCATTTACTTAAAATAATTCTACTTGCAGAAACAAGGAGTATGTAAACCTCAATGTTGCACCTCTCAGAGTGGATCCTGTTGTCTAGTTTGTACCAAACTCAATGAAGCATGTCCTTGTTGCTGCAGTTCCAATGTTGATGGCTGTTTATCAAAAATATGTGGCAAAAGAAAGGTTTTTTATAAATTTTTGAATTATATACATTCTTAAAATAACACTTAAAGCTCTTTCCAAACCTTACCTTGTCTTTGGTGCAATGTCATTAGCACTCTGCACATGAAGAGAGAAAACTATGTAGTAAAGCACAACTTCTGGGAAAAGCAGAAATCAATGATGCAGCTCAATTTGATTTTGTTATATTCACTAAATCATTTACTTAACTTGTTCTTGAGATAAAGCATAAGTGCCCAGGATATATTTTGATGGTTAGTGGTATCTTGGAAGTGGCAGATAGCATCCAAAAAGAAGTTAGAACAGTGGTTCTCAACCTTTCTAGTGCCGCGACCCCTTAATATTGTTTTTCGTGTAGTAGCGACCCCCAAGCCACACAATTATTTTCGTTGCTACTTCATGGCTGTAAGGATATATGTTTTCAGATGGTCTTAGGCGACCCCTGGAAAAGCGTCCCGCGACCCACAGGTTGAGAACCGCTGAGTTAGAATGTTGACATCACAGTGGATTGAAGATTGCCATCATACAATAACATTTATTTACAAATATGGCAGACAGTAAGATGCATGAAAGCTATAAGCCATGATGCAAAGATTGAGTAAAGCAACTCCCTAATGGAAATTTAGTGGTCAGGACCTGAGCAAGTTGACTCAAATGAGAGCAAAACATTGTTCATTGTGAAGACACCTTAACGCCATCACAGTCCTCTCCACAGGCTGTTTAATATGCGAATGTTTGTTGAATATGTGGTGAAATTGCTTAAGAAGCATGGGGCTCAGCCTACAATAATGTAACACAGCATTTATGGACTTGGAATCCATTTTTTTTTAAAGGCAAAAGTGGCTATGCTGGTGTTAAAGATATTAGAAAGCAATAATCAAAGTCTTAGACTTTTTAAAATAAATATTTGAATAGAAGATTTTGAATAACTCTCTAAACCTAATTATGGAATTTAAATGTAATGTATTTAATGGTTTTTACTATTCCAGACAACCAACTGTGTGGATATTTTACTGTGTAATTGCTGTGGTTGTACTGAGGGCTGTTGTGATGTAAGTTCTAGTTTAGAAGTAACACGGTTGTTCTTGTTTGTTTATATAAAAAATGTTAATGCCATCCAAAACAGTAAGAATTATAGATTTAAAATTGAATTATAATTTTCCTGAATATCCTGTTTAAAATGACACATATAAAGAAAAAATAACACACCCTTAAAATTTTTGGTGTATCTGTTATTTAAACTGATTGTAATCTTTTAGTTCAAGATCAGATTTTAGAAATCTTGAACTGATTTTAACACAATAAAAGGGCAAAAATTAATATTCTTTATTCATCATTACATATTTAAAATCAATCCTCTCAGTTCTGTTACTTTGGCTTATCCAGTTTTGCATTTATATTTACATAATTATTTGTATGTATTTTTTCATGTTCAATGTTCAGTATTTTTGTTCTTATTTTTTTAAATCTAAAATTGTCATCAAATGTTGAAATACTATTTCAATTTTACATATGTCTCATCATTTCTAAGTCATCATTAAATCAGCAAGCAATGGGGTGGCTATTTTGTTTACTCTACAAATTTTATCTGCTTCTGGATAACATTTGTTTTTATGTAAATTGAAATTTTCCTCACCTTAACTCTAGCTTAATGAACAAATGTGTTTAAGGGATTTTTGAATATTTTGGTAATGGCAATATTCAATTTTTTTTATCTTTGATTTTTAAATGATAGAGGCTAGTTATAATTTGTATTATTAATTTTTTAAAAAAAAAAGATTTTGAGAGAGGGGTGTATTAATACTCAGTTTTTTTTTAGTGTTCTTGGGGGTGGGGGGTATTATATTAGTCAGATTATTTATATCAGCATTCAAATTTTTATAGGGGGAATTATATCCATTTTAAACCTTTTTAAAAAAAATAATCTTTCTTATAGTAAATGGTTGTATCAAGTGAATGAAGGAACAATTTTCTAGGTTTGGATAACTAGATAAGCAAATCATCTATCCTTTTTTTTTAAAAAAAAGGGAATAAAATAAATTAACTTCATTTTAATTGTGAAGTCTGTTTGATTTGTAGCTATGAAATTCTAACTCTGATTATCCTTTGATATATGTGTAAATATTGTCTAATATTTTTGCTCTTACCTCACTGATGACTGACTAATTTATAAACATTTCAAATTTTAACTTCAAAATAAACACACACAAAAAAAACCTTTCCAAAAATGTTGGTCCATCTGCAGAACTGCTTTGAAAAATATGGCCGTCAGTCTAGTAGTATCCCCACATCTAGCATTATACCATAGTGTGGGTGGATAGCTGTAGTTGTCAGTTTGTCAGTTAGTATGTTGGCGTAAGTATTGGTACAGGTTTCGTAGCTGATTATTTTTCTTGTACTCACCCTAACAATATAGTGAAAGTTAGTCAGTTAGTAAAGTTACTAAAGTCTTCCCTCTTTTACCAACCTATTAATTATAACTGTCAATTTTATAGAGAGTGCACTGAATGCAGATCCAAGATTTTTTTCCTTGATACATTCTTTATCAATTTTCAATTTGAAGGTTGAGATTAGTAATTTATTTATTTATTGCACTATACATAATGGCTATTTTTTCTGAGTAGGCATATAGAGAAATATAGTTCTTCAATCTTGTCTAAGCTAAAAAATTAATAAAAGTTTGAAATACTTATATATGTACCGGTATGTAAATAGATTCCTACTGCATTTCTGTCAACCTTCTGACATTAATTGTAAAAAATTACAGTGTTGGAACGTAAAAATTAAATTAAAACTCTACCTTAAAGCCAATGACAGTGAACTTTTAAAGGCAGCTGATTGATTTCTTCAGTTAAATGGTTAAGGGGCCATCCATAAATGACATTACCCAAATTTTGACGATTTTTTACCCCCCTCACAAACCTCTGCCAACCCTGCTCCCATAAAAAAATTCCCTCTGTCCACTACTGTCCTTCACAAACCCTTAAAGATTTCAACTCCCATTGATATCGAGTTACTGCACCTATGTAAGAAACATTTCCCAAGCACAGTAGTTTTTAACTAGGGGTGAAAGCACCACTATGGTGCGGTAGACCCAGAAATTTTATCTGCCGCCTTGCTAGTTGTTGCTGTCTTTAAAAACAGTTTTTATGCATTTTGATTAGCAACTGTAAATTTTGTTCTGGTGAATTTTGTCTGCACCTTACTTGTATTGTTTTTTTGTTTTTGTAAAACATTTTTATGTTTTGTTTTGCTTATAGAAAATTAATTATAGAAATAAATCTACAATAACTAAATTAGTAAATTATTTTTTTATTTTAAATTTTATTACACTATAATTTATACGGGGAGAAGGTTTGGGGGGGAAAGTTTACAACTGAATGGGGCTGCATCGCTGCAAAAAGGCTAAGAATCCCTGCCCTAGAGCATTGACCAAGATCACCCCCCATCCCCGGGCAACAATTTTTCATTCAATCCCAATTCACTTGGTAGTCGTAATTCTATGACTCCTGTCTCAACATTTGGACATAAATTCTTACAACATTTCACTACACCCTGATTGTCCTCCTCCATGGCGGCCTTTACCTTGATCATAGACCATTTTTTGGACCTTGCATACCTGTAATGATTTTTCTCATTGGATGTAGTTTAAAAATAAAATAATTATAATTGTTGTATAAAATAATGTTAACAATGTGTTTAATTTAGTTTCATTTAGTGAAATTTTCCCCCCATTTTTAATGTGACATCATATCGCTTAACACCCCCCACCCCATTCCCATGGTTACACATCACAAAAATGCTATTTCTCCAATCCATGACATAATTTATGGATGGTTCCTAAGTCATGATTGATCTATTTATTAATTCCAAATGGTTGTGACTTTTTGGCATTCCTAAAATTCTGAAGATTTCAAATAAATTTTAAAAAAAACTAATTTCCATTTTAAATACGCAAACATTTTCTTTTGGGGGAAAAAAATGTATGTATAATGCAAAATGCACATCAGAAAATGATTAAAACAAATGAGTAAAAGAAAATTATAGAAACTATTTTTGTGCCAGATGTAACATATATTTACAATATTAAGGAAGTGCCGAATGTGTATGAAAAAGCATGTCAAAATTTAATTTTTTTAAAAATTGAATAAAATGCTGTTAAAGAAGAAATTTAAATAAATATTTAAGAATCTTATATGTTTTGAAAGATACCATAAGTCCATATGTATTGAAAGGATTTTAAATGCACCAAACTTACATTCTGAAACCCAAACTACATCAGCTTAGGAAATCTCAATTAAAAAATAAAAATGAATATAACATACAGTTTCATTTAACGGTATAGATGAAAGTTCATTAAAACTCTAAAAGATCTTATTTTAAAGCTGCCAGGAATGACTGACTCTCTTAAATTGACAGTCCACTTTGGCTATTTTTTTTTTTAAATCCAGTTTAGTATCCCATTGAAATATAACTGTATACCATGTGCTATATTCTTGTATTACCTCAAATAATTTGTCATGGGTTTAGAATCTATCTCTCATAGAATCTATCTGGACTTTATTGTACAGTTAAACAAAATAATAAATCTCAGTAGGCTCCCCACTGGTTTTCAAGATTCCATTCAAATATTAAAATTGAGCTAAAATTTATTTTTAAAAAATCAAAGATAAGATATTAAATAATATGTGATTTTATATAAATATTGTTCACTCAATTATACATAGGTACATAACATTAATAATGACCTCTATTTTAGAATATTACAAACTCTCACCCGACTTCTGTTTTGTTCTGCAAATAATTTTTTGTTCCTTCATATTTCAAAATTTCATCAATAGTTTATAATCTGCAAACTATGTTATTAAGTTTTATTTTTAAATGCTGGGAAGAAAGAAGAAGAAAGAAAGCCAAAATAGTAAGTTCATGGATCAGGCCTACAGTTTATATGCATGAATATTAGAATTTATATCTCAATACTTTTGTCATATTCGCTCGCATTGTTTGATGATGTATACATGTATGAGTTTTTTTGAAACCCTAAAATATGGTGCTCCCAATCATGATGTCCTCGACATGAGCCCTCAGTCATAAAGCTCTGCAATCAATGCTTTTATTTTAAAGCTAAAAGGAACTATAACAATATAAGTTCACAAAATTGTTAATTTTCAGAGCTTCAATGAAAATATTATATGTTAATTTAATTTCTCGAAATAGAATTACCTGTAAATTATTAAATTGAAATTTTTAAATAGAAATATTTATTTACTTAAGACCATATGGTTAGATTTCATCAAATACCTCCTTCTAACTTTTCTTATAGCCACCCAAATATTCTAAATATTCTCTATTAACTTCTCATCCGAACATCTTGAATAATATTTTCTTTGAAAGCCTCTTATTTATCTTGGCATAAGAAAGTGGTTATTATATTTCAGTACAGTTAACTCATTAATTCCAATAAAATCTCTTGACTGACTGAGGTAAAGTTAAAATGATTTTTTAACGGTTTTTTTTACCGGTATAATAAGTTCACGTACATGTCACAAGATTTTAATATACAGAAAAAAAGGTGTTTGGGGATTAGACCTACAAAGAAAGATATGACCTAATTTTTAATCCATATAATCGAATTCAATAATAAGTTGGGTATTTTTTCTTGCTCCTCAGTTATAGCTTTTAAATATTTGAATATAGTGATGCAGAAATTAAATAATTTAGGCTGTGTCCTTAAGATAAAAATAAACTTGAAAACTGATAAGGTATTCCTTATAACGAATTTCATATCATAAAACTGCACATTTCAATAAAAGAAATGTAAAAAATAGTTTTAAATAATTCTCACTATAAGAGAGGCACACAATTTGCAGTAATAATTTCAATAGCGGTATTTGTATTGTATTTTTTTTATCAGACTTTTTTTCAGGGGTAAGGGGATGAGGTGTTTATACAAAGGGGTTTTTTTTTTTTCCTAACCAGTTTACATTGTAGGATATAGTCATTTCCCAAATCATCTCATTTAATGCATCCTGGCTCATGCCCCCCCCCCCCCCACCCCCCCCAGTAATTATATACTGGTAGGTGAATATATATTTTTGTTCCTATGTAAACTTTTACAACTACTAGCTGTGCTAGTGCTAGTGAAAACATGTTCATTTGATTTCAAGGAAAAGTTTTTGTAGTAACATTTAAGGAGTATTTGAAACTTAAGCATATATTTTTAAATGGTTACCTGCTATTTGAACCCAAGTTTGGTTAAGTTTTTAACAGTTATTTCAAAAGCACAATTATTTATAGTATAATTGTAGACTATTTATCACTTAACTAAGTAGTTGGATGAAATGATTTATTTTTTTTTTCATCTTACCTATTACCATAGTAAATCTAAGTAGTTTTCAATATTAATCTAAGATTAGTCATAAAAAAAAAATTTACTTCACATCTCTATGTTTAAAGTTACGGTGTTAGAAGCTACATGTTGCTTTTAGTTCATTATTTAACTAGCAGTGACTAGCAAAAGAACTTTTTTTTCTTCATTTCTCTACAAATGTATTTTTGAACTAGAAATCTATAAATTTTTAAATAATAAATTTTAAATTTTTATTTCTTATTTGCCATGTTAGGCCTTAGTAGTTGTAGAATGAGACATAATTTTGGATTCTTTAATTCATTTCAGAGCCAAAATTTTATTTTAAAGATATTTTCACGAACCAGTATGAGTATAAGTAGTATGACCATTATCCTCTTTCCCTTCTACAGCCATGTAAATGCAAAGACTGTCAGCCAGCCACCTGCTGCTGTTGTGGTAAAGATGGAATAAGCTGTTGCGCTTTACAGAATCAGTTCTCTTGTAGACCTGTGTGCACAGACTGTTGGGATGACGACCTCGATTCAGACGCCTGCGGGTGTTTGTGCCTAGCTATCAAAGTAAGGACTCCCCGTCATGCCGGCAGCTTTAGGAGGAGTTCGTCTGCACCGAAGGAGCTCACCCAGAACCATTACAGCACGCACGGCCCACCAGAAAAGGGTCACAGTGTAGGGACTTACGATCAGGGTGATTTTGAGATCTCGGAAGAGCTGGATAGTGTGTATACCTTAAAAAATAGGAATTCAGATGTGGGCAGTGGTGCTTTGGTCCGGAAACGGTCAAAATCCCTCAGCCCAAAACTCAGCATGTCCCCTAGAAAGTTGTTGCACTTAGACCAGTCTAACAATTCCTTAGCACCATATGACTCCTCTTACAATGAGATCAAACAGTACCAAGCATCTGATCATAAAGGAAAAGTTCATGTGAACTTCGACCAGAGC